TCAAGCAGAGTGACACCAAGTTCTTCGCCTGAAACTTCCTGGCTCATCCTTCAGTAGAGGCTGCCCACACAAGCCTTTTACTGCGGTGTGCTTACAAGGGTCAGGGAGTTCAGTCTTCCCAGAACAGCCCCCAACTGTGAGAGGCGTCAATCCTAACCAAGGACTAACCCAGAATCCACGTCTCACCCGTGTCCCGACTCTCTGGCACACCCGCGAAGCGGCTCGTTGTTTTCACAGGCAGCGCACTCATTCACCGTGCGCATGTGGCTTGAGCCAAAATAGGCACGCCACTCCAACTTCCTCACGGTGGACATGTCAACTTGCAAGACATGTCCACTCATGCAACCTCAAGCAAAAATAGCTCACTTACCAAAGCCTAATGCCTATGGCTGCAATGACAAAATCATGCATGAGAATGCCAAGATCTGCAATACATACATACATACATACATACATACATACATACATACATACATACATACATACATACATACATACATACATTACAATACATACATACATACATACATACATACATACATACATACATACATACATACATTACATACATACATACATACATACATACATACATACATACATACATACATACATTACATTACATTATTACATTACATACATACATACATACATTACATTACATTACATTACATTACATTACATTACATTACATTACATACATTACATACATTACATTACATTACATTACATTACATTACATTACATTACATTACATTACATTACATTACATTACATTACATTACAATACAATACATTACATTACATTACATTACATTACATTACATTACATTACATTACATTACATTACATTACATTACATACATACATACATTACATACATACATACATACATACATACATACCTACATACATACATACATACATACATTACTTACATACATACATACATACATACATACATACATACATACATACATACATTACATACATACATTACATTACATTACATTACATTACATTACATTACATTACATTACATTACATTACATTACATAACATACATACATACATACATACATACATACATACATACATACATACATACATACATACATACATTACATACATACATACATAACATTACATACATACATACATACATACATACATACATACATACATACATACATACATACATACATACATACATACATACATACATACATACATACATACATTACATACATACATACATACATACATACATACATACATACATTACATACATACATACATACATTACATACATACATACATACATACATACATACATACATAAGACATACATACATACATACATACATACATACATACATACATACATACATACATACATACATACATACATACATACATACATACATTACATACATTACATACAAACATACATACATACATACATACATACATACATACATACATACATACATACATACATACATACATACATACATACATACATACATACATACATACTTTACATACATACATACATACATACATACATACATACATACATACATACATACATACATACATACATACATACATACATACATACATTACATTACATTACTTACATACATACATACATACATACATACATACATACATACATACATACATACATACATTACATACATACATACATACATACATACATACATACATACATACATACATACATACATACATACATACATTACATACATACATACATACATACATACATACATACATACATACATACATACATACATACATACATACATACATACATACATACATACATACATACATACATACATACATACATACATACATACATACATACATACATACATACATACATACATACATACATACATACATACATACATACATACATACATACATACATACATACATACATACATACATACATACATACATACATACATACATACATACATACATACATACATACATACATACATACATACATACATACATACATACATACATACATACATACATACATACATACATACATACATACATACATACATACATACATACATACATACATACATTACATACATACATACATACATACATTACATACATATATATATATATATGAATACTCACTGTAGTCCTGCGCTTTGAGGGATGCAAGAACGGGTTTGTCTGATTGGGTGCTCTGCACCCCATGGTTCATCAAAGATCAAAGAATTACCCAGCCCCAAGTCCCAAAAACAAAATTGGCCTGTTCAAGTACAGAGAGGGAACCCCTGAAGCGCGCTCCCCCACGCTGGCTGATAGCCTTCCGGCTCCAAATCTTCCCGCTCCTTGTCTCCATTCCTCCTTCACTTCATTGGCGCGCCCACCTTCTTTCTCCTCCCTTCCTCTACCCCTTTCCTGACGCCTATCCTCCCGGGCTCTCGGACTTGTCTCTGGGCATTTCCCCTCTCCTTTGCCCCGCTCTCTCCCTCCTCCTTCTTCCTTCCCCTCTTCTCTCAACTCCTCTCTCGCCAGCTCGAGCGCGACCCCCCCACCCCAGCACTGGGGACCCATGAGCTCTAAAGCAGGAGTTCCTCTGTCGGGGAACGGGAGGGCAAGGCTCCCTGCGCTCGGCAATAAGCTGACACGCGCTCTCCCGTGGAACCTTTGAGCCGGAGAGGGAAAGCCATGCCGTAGGTTCCTCTGTACTCCCGGGGCCGTTGAATCATGCATGTGCATATATATATATATATATATAGTGTAGTAGTCTCATATATATATATATAGATGCATATTCATATATAGGTATATAAATATGTATATATATATATAATGCATGCCTCATGGAGTCATCTGACTCGCGGGAGACCCGCCTTCAGCGATTCTGGCAGTCCTATGACTTCCGATGGCTAGTTCCAGGGGCTTCCTATGGCCCCCGGTTCGACTGCCATATGCCCATGGGTCAAAAGCCAAATCGGTTAGCCCCCAACATCCGATTCAATCCAACCACTAAAATAGGCTCTACAATGGGGAGGTGAATTCACCAACCAACATGAGATCCCATTGGTTTTGACCCACAGCCATATGGGTTTGTCTCCAAATAGGGGACCCTCAAATTGGTAGCTGTCCTGTTGTTCCCCTTCAAAACCACCCCAAAGGAGGCACCCTCAAGAAAGGACCCACCAACCCATATGCCACTCACCATTGTTGGATCCCCTCTATCGACTTGATCCTCCGCTACCCGGTCACCACTGACCACACCTGCTGGATTACTGGGGGGGGAAAAAAAAAGAAGCCCCAGACCCCTCCCCACCACCCGCCCACCCCACCACAAAAATAGATTTTGAGAACCTTCCAAAAGGTCTACTTAATGATCAGAGGCTATACCCGCCATGGTTGCAGCAACATCTGCTCCCTCACCTTTCAAAGGAACCTTGCATGTTGTTTTCCCCGCGCACCCCGACGCGACAACCCCCAACCACTCAAGGACAACTTCCCGGCCTGAGGGCGCGCGGGCTTTGCGCACCATCAGGGCGCTGGAAAGCGGCAACAAACAAAGACGAGCTCTTGCGCTCGTGGCCTGCGAGCAAGAATGTTGGTTTTGGGGATGGCAAGGTCCCCTAAGAACACATATGCTCTAGGGCAGTATGCTGGGTAACCAGCCATTTGTGTTGGTTGTCAATGGAAACTCCCTTGGCTGCAAACTCAAGTTGGAGTCTCTGGGGTTGTCAAGACTGATTGACTCAAAGCCTTTCATGTGGGCGCCCAGTTGCGCCAATGTCTGGTGTTGTCGCGGCTGCTTGCCAAGGCGTCTGTGAGTGCCGAAAACATGGCTGAGGTCGCAACTGGGCAGTCGTTCTGTGTTTGTTTTTTGCAGGGTATGCTTTTTGGCAACACCCCCCAAGAAGCGTACTGGTACCCATAGCTTCTCTGGGAATGCTTGGATGCTTTGGGCCCTCTTGGGCTTTTGCTGGCACTACCCACTGGCCCTCTGAGACTTGCGGGGCAGAGGCCCGGGCGGCCAAAATTCGCACCTTCTCAGCCGCAAGGACTTTTTGGGCTTTCCCCAAATTGGGCCCCCGCCACGGTGCGCGGATTCCTTCCAAGGCGCCGTTTTTGCAACACCGGTCCAGGTCAAGGCTCCGATCTTGAGACTCATGTCTTGCTTGGTCGGGCGTTGACGCAAGCATGAAAAGGTTTGGATGCCACTTGGCACTCACCGAGAAGGGATCCCCATGAAAGGAACCTCCGTCCCAACGTGGCTTTGGTATCCCAGATCGACGGCACTTGATGTGAGAATGGACTTTGCCCGAACGCGAGCTCAAAATACTAGCAGAATATCACCTCACCATGGCAACGAGTATCTCTCTTGCGGACACTGTGTGCACTAGCCATGCAGAGGGGGACGATGTCCAAATCAGAGGCCTGCCAAATGGTTTTGTTTGCTTCATCTAACTCAACCCAAATGAGCCAAATTCAGCCTGATCCAACTCGGCTTGCGCACCAACGCCATCCTCGAAGGTGGCGCAATTTCCAGCGTCATTGCCGCAGTTCACAGCGCCGGGGCGGTGCTGCTTTTTTTGAGGGCGGGAGGGGGAGGGGGCCTGTGAGCTGGGGTGCGTGTGTTTCCTTGCGGGAATCCGGATCGCTCTTGGCGGGCGACCCGCCCGATTAGCAGGACACTCGCACCAAGCAAATGAGCCGGATCTGACCTTTTGACTTCCTTTGGGATCCCGTTTTTGCTGGCCCGGGTGAACACCTTTGATTTGTCTAGGGGTTGAGTCCGATTTCATTCTTTTCAGCCATCGTTCCCTTCAAAGACCATCCATGTTTCCAGGGTTTTTGGTGGTTTTCTAGAAAGAAGGATCCCTGAAAAGAATGGGGAAGCTACCCCCAGAATTTGTGGGTCTTGTGGGCAACCGAGGGTAAAGATTCCTCTTCCAGGTCGCCCGGACCATTGCCGCTGGTAGGCGATGGCCGCACGTGCAGGTTCTGGTGATGCCTGGAACGTCGCGCAAAACGTCGCGCGTCGAAGAAACGAGAGAGACCCGGGGGGGGACCGGCGATTTGGCCTTCAAAACATGTTAAGATGACACCAAACACTCGGAGGAATCGATACCCCCTGTTTTGAGTCTTGACATGGGGATGTCTCACAATAGGAGACTCCAACATGGCTGGTTGCCTGTTGGTTCCCCTGTTAAACCAACCCCAAAAGGGACCCTCAAAAATAGGCACACCCAATGCCCAAGTTCCACCAAAGGAGCGGACATGCATGAGGGCCGCAACCAGCCAACCAAACAAACAAACAAACAAATAAACAAATACACAGACAGACAGACAGGCAGGCAGACAGACAGGACAGACAGGACAGACAGGACAAACAGGACAGACAGGACAGACCCACAAACAGCGACAGACACACAGGCAATCAAACGAGCAAAAAAACAAGAAGAAGCAATCAAACAAACCAGCGGACAAACAAACAAAACCGCGACAGCGTGTGTCAAGTCTCCCCAGCGGAAAGGAAGCCCGCAGCACAGAGCTGCCCTTCACGAAACATGTGAACTGTGCTGCTCTCGTGGTCAAAGCAGGACATCGAGCAACTGTAGTGAGCTTCTTTCCAAAGTCATGTTGTTTTTCCTGGCTTCGATGTAGGTCCCAAAGGTAAAACAGTGAGCACGAACTGGAAAACCGGAAGGCCAGTGGCCGAGACTCAATTGACTTCTGGTTCTGAGATGGTAAAGGGTTTACGCCTTACACCGCCCACCTGGCACATCCGGGCACGCTCGAAAATGGCCACTGACAGACCGACCTTTGGCTGCGCTGTGGGCGAGTGACTCATCTCAGTGCCCCGCCCGTGAGGCACGATGATCTTGTCGGCTGCGGCCTCTCGCGTCAAGATCGCAGGGATTACACCCGCCAGGCGAACAGGCACAAGTACAGCCATGACCTTCTAAGTCTACCTCAAAACACCCAGGCGCGTCTTGAAGCAAAGGCAATTATATATATATATATATATTCATCTATGTATCTATCTATTTAGTTGTTTATTTATGTACTTGTCTGCTTAGTCAGTTATTTATTTACGTCTTGCCAAAATTACTGGACCACGCTTCTATACTTCAGCCACCTTGGGCGACAGCAAGAGGCTTGGGTTGCCAGCTACATCCGTGTGGGAGACTGCGCGAAGAGCCAGAGAGTCTTTGAAGCCCTCTGAGATGACCGCAGTTTTACGGGACACGGGTTGATTTGAGTCGCAGTGGCAGATTGGTTGATCCTTCGACTTTCCGGCGCACTGCCCGTTCTGGTCGGTGTGGTCTATTTACAGCGCGGTCTCGAATAGGAGTGCGGAAAAGAGGACCGGCATGCAGCCGGACGAGGATACGACCTTAGAGAGCGAGAGAGAGAGAGAGAGAGAGATAGAGAGATAGAGAGATAGAGATGAAATTAGAGGGACAGAAGGAAACAAGAGAAACGGACTGACAAACAATGACAGGGGGATTGCTACTGAAGTCAATCAGCTGCATCAACATGATCACCCTGCAAAACGCTGCAACTGAGTGCGCTTCTTAAATACCGTCACCAACTGTGCCTTCACATTGACACCAGAGAGAAGCAATAGCCATATTTGTTTCTGCTAAAGACATGCACATGGTCGGGCAGAAGCAAGGAAGCCAATGTGTGACGATTTGGCATCCGGAGCATGCGTGGACCAGTATGGAAGCACACACACACACACAAACACACACACACACACACACACACACACACACACACACACACACACACACACACACACACACACACACACACGCAAACACACGCAAACATTCCGCCGCAGCCTGGCGCAAGAGACCCTCAAGTATGTTGGTGCCTGGCTTCAAAAATCGGCGCCTCATGTCTCCCCATTCACACTCATGGCAATGTTTGGATTGCCGCTCCCGCCTGTGGGGAGCTGGACCCACTTAGGACAATACAACTAGGTCGAACTTACCATCTGCGTGGGCTGCTGGGCTTGTGGGCGCTCTTGCTGGGCTTGCGGGCTCCGGAACCGCTTTTTCCACCACATTCTTCTGGATCCAGCACCAAAGCCGCAGTGGTTGGTGGGTGAGTGGGGAGAAACCAACATTTTCAAAGATCAAAGTAAAGAGTGACCATGTCTTGCAGTCCCAAACCACAAAGCCCAAAGAAGCGTCCTTGTGAAGGACCCGTTTGGGATTGGCGTCGCTTCCCCAGTCCCGGAGGTACCAATGCGCATGCAAAATCCAGGAGCAAGGGGAACCCCCCAACTTCCTGCAATTCACCTTACTGCAATTCAACCCCTGCAATTCACTCATTCGCAAGTGCCAGGGGTCACTGGATTTCCCTTCAGGAGTTGCAATTTACTGGTGGTCTTTGCGAGGTTCCAAAAAGGGAAAGGGAGGAAGCCCTGTGTGTTTCCCCCAACCTCCTGCAATTCACCCAGTCATTGGATCACGGTTCTCCCAGCCTCATAGATTTGCGGAGCCGCAATGGGGTAGTGGGGGTTCGCCTGCGCATGTGACAAGGAAGCCCTCTCCAAGCCCTAAGACTCTTCTCTTCAGGCCCTGATCATCTTGTGATGCCTTGTTTCCTTCTAACAACAAGGAGAAATGTATGACAATATCAAACAGGGGTGGTGTTCCTTTGTGAGCGTATTTCAAGAATAAATTGACCAACCGCCTAAGACCCGGAATGTCCTGCTCAGAACCCGGCAAATAGAGATACAACACACTCTCAGCTCTCCGATTGCAACTCGACATGGAACCCACAAATGTGAAGGAGTTCCTTAATGGGGTCTGTCGATTGGATTCTACGGTCATCGGGTCATGGCAAACAACAAGCCCCGATCGGTTCTCCCGGTCCAAAAACGTGCGCCAAGTTGGCCTTTTCGGACGAATCACCAGCCCGCTTGCAATTCGCATCAGCTTCCTCTAGGCGGTTTCGACTGGTGCTTTGGCCTTACGCAGACTACTGGAGAAGGCCCAACGCTGACCCCGCAAGTGGTTCTTGGGCATTTCCCCATTGACCCCCCATGTGGTTTCTTTGTTTCTGTTCTTCTTTTATTGTTGCTGTTGTTTTGTTTTGTTTTTGGTGTTTTAATTTCTTTGGGGGGGAGGGGCAGGGGGAGGTTAAGGCAATCACTCCCCAACACTCAGGCAGAATATAATATACCCCAGTGGCATATCATGTCCCCTCCAACACCCATACTGCTGTGGGTCAAAAATCGGGTACCCCAAAAAAGATTGGTCTGGTAAATGGAACCAAGGACTAAACCCACAAGGTGCAATTCCTGGTGGTTTTAACTTTGACCCATACCCATACCACTTCTCAGGGGGTCCCCTTAAAGGAAACCACCAGTTGGACGGTTCTTCTTGGGGTCATTCCAATTCTCATTCCCTGCATCTCTCGCAACACGCCGGAAAACTCCAACCCCTTGCTGAACTTTGACCCATATCCACATGACCGCGTCTTGTGTGCTCTCGTCCAAAAGTGGCCGGAGCGAGCCCTGCCCACCACTTCTCCGCGCCCGCAGCCCGAGCCCACGCCTCCAGTGCGCGGAACATCTCGCAGGCGAAGTCCCGCTCCATCGGGTACGCCTGGCTCGCTCCGATTGGCCAGCGGAATCCATCGGATTCGCCTGGGGGCTCTGAAGCAAAAACAAGTCCAGAGGTCAACGTGGGAATTGGAAGTCAACGCGTGGACATTCAACAAATGTCTCTAAAGGGTAGTCCAAGAAATGACTACCTCTTGAGCTCAAAAGAGTAGTCTAATTCATTTGGGTCTAAAGGGTAGTCCCATTTTGAGCTCAAAACGACAATTCAAATGGGAATTGACGACTGCAGATCACTAGATCACCTGGCCGAAGCTCACCTTTTGCCCCGATGAGGAGGCTGAGAGCCCGATCTCATTCATGCCCATGTGCTGGGGAAACCAGGGTGCCCCCCAAGACCACGAGTCTCGTTGGGCATGGTGCACAGCCCGTTGAATTTTGACTTAGATTTGTTCTTGCTGCCATCTGTGCTCCACACACACACACAAACCTTCTCCAGTCGGGCGATCATTGCTCAGGATGCACGACACATCACGAAAAAGGCATCTCTTCAGCAAACCCAAAACGGGACAAAATACACCATCATTGAGCCAAGTGTCATGTATCTGTGTGACCACATAATGGCTCATCGGCACTAATCAATCCAAAGATGGTAGGTGCCATTCTATGGTCCTGTTCTTCACTGCGCCGAGTCTTGGCGCCTCGGCGTAAACTTCTTACCGAAAACCTCAAGTCGCAAGGGGTGGAGTGCATAAACCGCTGCAAACAGCTCAACTTCTGGGAATAGGCTCTGTTCCCAAAGTGTAAAGGTCACAAGGTCATACCAAAGGGCGACCAAGGATGCTCAGTTTCTCCGTCCTGCTTTCCAGGGCCAATTCTTTGGAGGGAAGCGAGTCCATCAGCAGGAAGCCTGTGCTGAGCAACTACTGTGAATGGGGCTTTCTGGTGGTTGAAGGCGTCTGGTGGTTTTCCCAGGTGTTTCCCACGGTAGTTGGTTTGACATCCAACCGGCTGGAGTTATTCGGTATACCACAAGAGCCATTCCGAGTGCTTGGATTGCTTTCTCCGCTTCGCGCAGCACTGGCCTAGTCCGACCACCAAAGATCGACTTAGCTACTTGTCCAAATGATTGGCATGGCTTCATTTGGGCGTCCTTTCAAAACCTTCCTTTCAACCCCGAATTTCGCTTGGTTTGATGCAGGCTTAGAATCCAGCGACCCCTTTCGTTCTCACGCGAGCAGGGCAGCCGGGCAGCCAAACGAATATGTTTTTGGGGTACCGCGTTTCGGGTATTTAAGGGAAACCAAAGGCAAACCATCCATAGGGATTCCCCACTTTTGGCGACCCAGTGGCATAAAAGTCCCAAGTTTCTTCCCAAGTTTCACACATCATCCGGGGCAAACATATATAAAGGATCCCGGGACGCACACCCCATGGTTGCCACCGACGCGATCAAACATCTCAGCGGCACGTCGTTGTGCATCAGCACCTCAAGCCACGTTGCAGTCTGCAACCCTGTGGCAATCCTCAAAGGCTGACATTTTGGGGAAGGGGGGTTGCCAGAGCAAACCGACCCCTGTTTCATGCCCCCTTCTTCCAGTTGTTACCAAGACAATTGTAGACACCACGCTGACCCATGACCCAGAGTTCATGAACTTGTTCCGCTGATTTTTGAGTCTTGGACTCGCCTGTTTGCTGGGAATTCCTTAATGTTCGGCAACGCTTTTTTCTGGAAGACCACACTCGAGCCGTGCCCTCCCCTTCGCACATCTTCCGCCTGGCAAAGCACCCAGGAAGGGGCACGGGGGCCCTGTTTTTGTGACTCAATGAGAGGCAGGCTCAAAACGAAGGCTTGTCCCTGACAAACATCTCCTGGGGTCACAATTGTTCACTGACCTGAAGTATGACATGGACCCCCAAGAAAGAAACACAAACCAAAGCCCGTGAGGGCGCGAGTGAATTGCCGAGCTCACTTCGCACTTCGCACCCGTTGCGGCGGAAACCGGGAGCCCTGACAGCGTACTTGGTCTTCAGCATAGGCTGGACCTGTGCCGGAAACCGGAAATCCCCGAACTGGCGTCACTTTGAGGTAGCCCTCTTGGCACGGAAAAGGGGAAATCACCATAGGGCTCCCCTGGGACACATCGGACATTGGAGCCTCAGGTTGGGAGAAAGGCTCCGTAACCTTCGAGCATTCCAAGCCTGATCCATGCACCCGGCAAGCTACCTTTGCAGGGCCACAGCGAAACATGGTGTTGGGTAGTGTGCCAAGTTCCGAAGTTTCCAGGGATGAGTTATCACTAACACCGGGTCAAAATGTACATGCCATGAGCCACTCGGTTCAGTTGGGTCCCCTTTGCGGAAGGAGCATGAGGGGAGGGCAATTCCCCAACTTCGCTCGGTGCTTTCCTTGTGGTCTGATAAAAAAAAAAGGTGGGACGTGCACCACACTGGCATATCATAGATGTGTGTTGATGATCCGGTGACTCGCAAAGAATGCTGAGGCCTGTGGGTGGAAATAGCCTTTTAGGAGGAAACAGGCTGATTAAAAACCTGGTAGTTTTGGAGGTTTTTTAGCCGTTTTCTGTTTCAGGCTGTGATATGTCGAGTTGCAGTTTCCAGCTGGGGTGGGGAGGAGGGGGTGGGGGGGAGGGGGGCAATGTTTCCGTCGTTTTGAAGGGCTTGCACGCACACGGACACACATGCCAGCGCACACAGGTAGATGACGGCCACGCCCCCGGGAACGCGTGTACACACACACATACACATGCACGCACGCACGTACGCACGCACGCACGTGTAAACCTAGACACGGCAATGTATAGACAGATGGTGGCAATCCTTGCAGGACTATGTGCCAACTCAGCTTCACTCTAAGAAAGAGAAAGAAGCCAATCCAGATTTGTTTCGCTACATGCATAGCTTTGTTTGGAGGTATCAGCTTCCGATTGAGAATGACTTCTGCTCTGCGTTGGCTCGTGTTTGTTGATTCTTCCAGATTTTTGACCAATTGAACTACAACAATGCAAAAAGCGTTGGGTTTTTGACCATTTCTGCATAAAAACAATGCTGTCCTAATTCTCCCGTTCACAGCAACGCATGAGCCATTGACGAGAAAACGCATAAAACCCAGGGGAAAAGAAGCGTGACGCAGCTTTCGACACCAGGTTTTTTATCAGCCTGTGACCTTTTAGGACCCTTGGACGTGTGAGCTACGGACGACTGTCTTGTTCCCCAAGAGGGCTGGGGCATTTGGGCCGGCCCCCTAGTTGTGACAAATTGGGGTGGGGCCTCCACAAAACCAACATGTCGAACTTGCTCGAAGCCCTGAAAACTGCCCCCATGCTAGCCGCCACCCTCCATTTGCTTAAATCCCCTGGAAAAAAATAGAAATATTTCCAGTAGTGACAGATTCCCTTTAAAAACCAACGGGCGAAAAACAATTCTGATCCAAATGGAAACTACAGGTCAGCGGACTCAGCTTGCCTTCAGGAAGCCGGCAATGGGGGCATCGCTATTGCCCACGGCCACCTGATGTGGATGCTAGCGGCGATCAAAACCAAATGGCTGTGGGTCAAAACCAACGGTACCATTTTGGGATAGGTGTACCACCCATTTTTAGACTATTTTAGTGGGGATAGGGATGTTCCTGGGGGGGGGGGGGGATTTGACCCATGGCCAAATCAGCGGACACGACACGCACACACGGCCGGATCCGCCGCGGATCTACACGCGAAGCAAACGTGAAAAAGGCAGGAGCCGCACGTCCAAGGGGGCTTCCCAACTGCGAAATTAGAAGTTAGAACCCCTATAGCTTTCAGCTATCTGCGGAACAAGGAAACACTGGGACTAAATCATCGGCTTTGTTGTGTGCCTTCGAAGCCGTCTGTACCAGTCCAAGCATGCAAGGCGACAAGCCTCGCCACCAAAGGTATGTGTCAAAAACGGGAATCGAGTTCTTTCCTTTTGGTGTCCCTATAGAACAACCTCAACAAGGGTACCCAACATGGATGGGTTTGCGTTTTAGCTGTGGACCCTTTAGTGGACATCATTGGGTGGGACCAACACTTTTGAGGGGGCCCTATTCAACCAAAAAAAACAGCGCCGTCGTTAAACGTAGAACCTCCCAAACAAACCCTCTTGATACTCTATTGGTACCCTCCAAAACAAACATGTGCTACCCTCAAAAAGAGCAACCAGCAACCATTTGCTCTCCGCCTGAAAAGGATTTGAACTTGCTCTGGGGGGATTTATGTCCACCCGCTTCGGAGGCCCCCCTCAGCCCTCAGCCCCCAGCCCCCCCGGAGCCTGGGTGAAGTTGCTGAAGAGCTGCGAGCCCACCGCGGAGGCATCCACGTGCCGGCCTCGCTCTGGTCCCAAATGCGCCGCGTTTGATTCTTTTGTGTCTGTGAGGTGTCCAAGCCGGTGCTCAGCAGGGAATGAGAAATGGAAAGCCCCCTGCAAACCATCCCTTCTGGTTCCTTCAAGGGGACCAATTCCTGGGTTCATTCCAACATTCCCTACTGAGCACCAGCAAGTTTTTTGGTCCGCAGGGGTTGGATCTATATTCCGTTTGGCCCCCAAAACGAACTGTTCCCATTGCAAAAAGTCATCTGTTTGGCCCATGTAAAGGGGCCTTTGACCAACCTCCACATGGGTCTGTCGATTGCTTTGGGGAACCATTTTGGTTGGTTATACAGGAGGCACCCAAAGGAAACCACAAACTGGGGGGGTTGTCCGAACCCCCCGAGTGAACGCACAAACTGGCTGGTTTCCCCAAGAGGACATCGGAAAGTTAGTTGATTCGGGTTTTTGGACGATGGAGGTGTTTGGGTGCCTCGCCAAGACTACCAACCATTTCGCGAGTTGCTCCTATAAGGGCGTAAACAATTAATTCTACCATAGCTGGCCCTTTATAGTGGGAGTGCGGATCCGAATGGAGAGAAAACCTACCAAAAATTTAACTATGGCCCACGAAAGAACCTACAGGTCCCTGTGTGGGGTCACAGAACCCCCTGGGTCGTTACATGTTCCATAGGGAACGGCTGGGGGTGTTCCCATGCTCCCTGCGGAGCCTGCGGAACATGCGCACTGGGCATGAAACATGTGCGGAGCTCCGGGCAGAATGGCCAAGCCTCTTTGGAGCCGCTGAGAAACCCGAAGGAACCCGAAGCCCATTGGGTTGGCAACAAACTCGTGGGAAGCATGCGGGAGGGATCTGAGGAACCTTTGGACAACTCGCAGGTGGCAAAGCGACAACTAGGCAGTGACTTTGACTCGCTCCAGGCATGGCGACCTGAGAGTCCGACAATAGATGTGCATATGTCTGCAGATCCCTCTGGGATGGTTGAAATGACTCGCGCTCGAGTTTGAAAACCTCAGCTTTCTTCGCACAAAAACCTCCGCAGCGCGGTTCATTCAAGGCGAGCTCCAAACAGGGGCCTTGGAGGGCATAGCTGATTTCAAAGGGGGTTCCGTGCCGAAGAAGAAAGGGAACAGGATAATATGCGCGAAACTGGACCGCAAACGCAGGCACACCCAAAAAAAATGGTCCCAAACATAGGCGCTCTCAAAGAAAACTCACGTCCGACTGTGAGCTGGTCGACTGGCCTTCCCGGACTGAGCCCCAAGCATCCACGGATGTTGGGGTAGGCATAGAAGACGGGCATATCTCGGCCGAACGAGCTATGCGACGCGGCTCCGAAGAGAAGAGGCGAGAACCCGCTAAGTGGTTGCCTCTTGGCTTCCCCTTAACACCATTCCCAAGAAGGGACCCCTGTTTTGAGAAACATTTGGAGCGAGCCCGAAAGCTTTTGGCACTCCGCCATGGTGTAAGAGGAGGTGCAGCTTGCCCGTGAACACGTGCCAGCTGTGTTGGCACAATGAATGGGCCTCTGAACACAAGTCGGCTGGAGGGCTTGTCTCCAACATGGGTCATGTTCCCTTGGTGTCCCTTTATGTCAACCCCAAATCGCGTACCCTGCGAAGGAAAAAAAAAAAAAAACGACCCCCCCCCCCATGGATTCAACATG